TTTGCTGCCTTGTGAAGTAATGTAAAACAAAACAGTCTGCCAAACTAAACGTATGTGTTACAAGATTTTAACATATGGAGAAAACCTCTTTCCAGTTAAAGTGGCAGGTCTGTGACACCAATCAAGTTCATCACAGCTTATCGAGATCCGCTTACAGGAGAGACCTGGAGTCAGACTGACCTCACTGTCAAAGGTCAAGGAAGAAGACGACGACGACCCAGGGGTCTCATCCAAGATTTTTGCTGGATACATATTTGCTATAAAGTAATCATGTCTTTGCATGCTTTGAGCAAAATCATATATACATGTACTTTTATTTGCTAAAATACAATCGTTAGTAGTTACCACCATAACATTTTATTAATGAGCACTTATACATCAACCAGCCTGTAACAGGGGAAATGTATTTTAACGATGTAGATCTAGGCAGCCGGATCAGGAAGCTTGAGCCACCACAGGGCATCCATTACTGTCTCTGATAATAAAGCACTGGGAACCAGTCACACGCTCCTTTCCTGTGTTCTGATTCATTTTGAAGGTAGCTACAGTGCTGGTTACTTTAATATTAATATGCAAAGTGGCATCTTATTTGGGCAATTTTGGTATAGCAGGGAAAACAGACTTTGTTCTGAGATTATTATTAAAAGTGTAAACACAAATGTGAGAAGGTGTAAATCAAAGGCATTGTGCCCGTCGATGTGTCTAAATAACAAGGCAGGCTAATTTGCACGTTGTAAAAAACATATCAAATATATAATTAAAAATACAAAATTATTGCAATCATAATGAAATCAATCTTGCATTCTCTTCTACTGCGTATGGTCACCTATCTGTAGCTGTTGCAGCACGGCGTGGTGCAGGTGAGAAAACAAGGTGACGATCCACCTTGCGGCTTCAAGACAACAGAGGGGTTTATTGGGGAAACTACACACACTGGGTAAACTGCAAAACAAAAGGACCACATGGGGTTGAAAGTGAATGAGGAAAACAAGAACTAACTATAAGATATCAAAGGTAACAATGAGAGAGAAAGAACACAGGGAGCAGAACTAGAAAAACCAAACAGGGCAGCAACACAAAGTAACTTCTCACAGAACAAAATCACAGTGACTGACTGGGGAAGCCGACAAAGGCAGGGGCTAAAATACACTGACACTGAGGACTAACAAAGGCAGGGGCTTAAATACACTGACACTGAGGACTAACAAAGGCAGCAGCTTAAATACACTGACACTGAGGACTAACAAAGGAAGGGGCTAAAATACACTGATACTGAGGACTAACAAAGGCAGGGGCTTAAATACACTGACACTGAGGACTAACAAAGGCAGGGGCTTAAATACACTGACACTGAGGACTAACAAAGGCAGGGGCTTAAATACACTGACACTGAGGA